TTTAAGTTATGAGAGTTCCATTTTAGATCGTCTTGGAAATCAGTTCATGGAAAGTGTTTTTTTTTATTTTCAGAAAATCTCAAATCTCCACTGAATAAAGTGATTGAGATTGCAGTTACCTTGAGATGAATTATGTTCACTATTGTACCCACAACTGATATCAAGTTCCAGATCGAAATTTTAAAAATGAAAATAATATTTAAGGAATAGTTAGAGTAGAAAATGACCAAAGAAGAAAAATTGGTTTCCATGGTGATGAATTGTATATAATACAGGAATAATACAGTTGATCCTTCAATAAGAAATAGAACGAAGAAACAGCAGACAATATAATGAACTATGTAATGTAATTAAAAATGAAAATGTGAGTAGAAAAATAAAAAAGTCTCTGTAACATACAGTGTTTTTAAATAGATGTGAAACATGGATATGCAGAAAATATGCTTCCAATTTTCAAAAGGAATATTTTGAGAACACTTTTTGGACCAATACTAGAATTGCAAAGAGACAATAATAAGAAAAAACTTATATTAATTAGTGCATGTAATTACAGTCTCTTCAATTAGAATGAGTGGAACTTATAAAAAACATGCTACCTACTCACATAACAAAGAAAGCAATGGAAGGAGGAATAATTGGGAGAGATAAGATAAAGATTCATAGTCTATGTGTAAGGGAGCAATTGGAAGTGATAATTAGGAAGCTAAAAACAAAGGGCAGAGAGAACTGAAGGCAGATCTTTGACACGGCCCAAGTCTGTTCTGGACTTCAGTGACTTTGAGAATATTTCAAAAAAATCTTAACAAGAATGTGAATCTTGTGATATGTTAAAAATTCTGTATTAATAGATGTAGAGAGGCGACCAATTCCCTGAACAATTTTAATTATTAAAATGCATTGTTACGCAGTAACATGATCACAATTTGGATTTCTGTACAACTGTTGAAATATCTCTGAGCATTAGCACATCCAACAAGGTGACAATTATGTAAGAACTTTTACTAAATTTGCTTGAATTATATTTAGTCATGTTCAAAAAGCTGTTGTTAGAAATTTTCTTTGCCAGAAATATTAGAGAGAGTGTACAACCTCAGTGAAAAAGAAAGCAGAAACCTCAAGTACCACAAATTGATAATTTAGTGGTTATTGAGGAAATTAAAGTGTAATTTCCCTTGGCAATGATTATGAGTAATTTCAAATTTATTTTTGAAGCCTAGCATGTAAATGCATTGAGTCAATGAGCTTGTTTATTCATATAGACAGAAAATGTAGCTTTTATTTTCTCAAATTGGTATTCAGGATTGTGATTTCTTAATTAGCATGTAATGTGCAACAACAAATATAGGACAAAGAGTCTCATTAAAAAAAATCAGTAAAAGAATTCTTATCTCACCAAATTATTCCCGAATTATTCACTGCTTGTGAGATTTCATTTTAAGCAAGATGAAAATTTCAGAAGAAGCTAATAACCCTTAGTAGGGTTAATTCACCATGAAACAATTTGTAATTGAATTATGATTATTTAGAAAATAAAAATTATTGCACTTACAAAAGCACTGATTTTCTCTCTTTGTGGTGGTCATACATTTTTCTTAAAAAATCAAAACTGGAAAAACCAAAATAGTTCTAACATAATTACATCATGTTTTCACATGTAACACATCTAATTATGACATAACCTTGACTTTGCAAAGTCCAGCGATTGCTACCCTTATCAAAATAAATATTAAAACAAGTTCTTTTGGTACAAAATAACACAGAGAAAACATTTTTAGCGTTCTGGAAAAATGAATAAGAAATTGTTCAGGTTTCTTTTACTTTATTCACCTTGGTATTTCTTGTGAAGAGAAAATGGCACATAGAGAAACAAAACTGAAAAAATTTCACTTCTAAAAACTACTTGTAAATTATCAGTTTTCAGTCCCCCCCCAATTTTATATTGAACTTCTACCCTTACAGAAATTTCAAAACGGTGTGGTATTGGTGCCTGACCATCTCGTTCCGATGAGACTAGGCAGAATAGAGAAAATATACATGTGGCACATGAGTGTCTGCATTAAAATATAAAGAGAATTGTTTTTTAACAGGATTCTGTGCTCTTCCAGAGCATTGCAAAACTGTTCTAAATATCACAGAGTTGTGTAGAAAACTAAACTAAAACTTAACAGTGTTGTAAGGTTTTCATTTGACTGATTCTTAGAAGCATTAGCTCAACTAACAGCACTGGTATTATTCAAGAACAATAATTACACTGCACACCACTTTACTTCTATGCAGTGACAGCACTAGGCATGGGCAGACCAGGCGATCGCCCAGGGCACTGCAAGGCAAGGACCCAATGACAGGATTAATGGGGAAAAAATAGTAAAAAATTGAAAAAGAAATTAGAACTTGAGAAAATTGTTACTGTAATATTAGAAGCCGCAGCAGTCTAACATTTCATAAAATTTTCAATTTTTTTACTTAATATAGTTATTTATAGTCATTTCTTATAAGTAGAACCAGGAAGTTTGGCAAACTTCTTTTTTGATATCACTATTTTATGACTTTTAACAATGACAATCGCTTAATTGTACTTTTGGAGTTGTTTTAGTAGATTTTTATTTTGCCTATTTGAGTTCCTGATGCCTATTTTTGCCATTTTACTTTTTTATTCCTTTTAGGCCATTATTTTGCTTTTCTTTCCTGGCACTAATCTCGCTCAAGCTAGATACAAACCTGCAAGCCTGGACAACACAAAAGACACAGTCATGTTTTCTTTCTGCGGAAGTAAAGGTTGTGTTAAAAATCTAAATAAAATAGGAAAATAATACCAGACAAGATTTTTGATTTATCTTCCCCACACACACACACATACTCTTTGTTTGCTCACAAGGCATCCCGTCCTACTTTTGAGTGCAGCCATTGATTCCTTTTCAGGACTGCTCTCTGTATACTTCTCCTTGTCAGTGCTGACAGTTACACAAGTGGGAAGAATGAAAAATATAAAATTTTGCTTTCACCGATGCAGTTTCAAGTTTCAAAAGGGAGTCCACAATAGCATTTCGAAGAGTATATCGCGAGTAGAATAAATTCATAGTAATTGTGTAGGATAGTCAAGTAGAATCAAGATTACAAAGAAAATATCATTTCCTTACACATTGAGTGCTAGTGCAGATTAAAAATAATTAGATTTAAAATAAAAAAAGGGAATAATTTTCATTATTAATTTCTTTACAAGTATTCCTTTTAAATATGATATATGCCTTTTTCACCCTACTTTTGCTACAATAAATACCTTTTGAAAGCTTATTTTAGGTACAATAAATGCCTGAAATTCCTGGCTCTACTTACAAGGTAGGTCTCTATGAAATGAAAAATGTCCGGCAATTCTGAAAATTGTTTAAAACAATAGTCATTGAAAGATTTTTATTCCTTCCAATTTTCCCCTCTAAGGCCAAGATATTTTAATACACATTTCGTAAAATTGTGTAATATACTGGCCATGTATTTTTATTGAAGTTTAGGACTGAATATTCTGAATTGTAGATAGTGAATGTTAATAAAAAATTTGCAGGCATGAGACAACCCAAGTCTTGAATGATGAATTAATTTTTGTAACATTCTGATATTTTGTTAAGGGGAGGTGTAAGTTAAAATTTAAGTATACATTAAAATAATCATCGTAACTCTTAAAACTTTACAATTGATGCAACAAAATGATTGCATTTGATCGTTGACAAAAGTAACTATATTAAATAATAATCATATTTCAATATGTGTATATTTCAGACAGTGAAATTCTGTTTATAATTTATATCAATTGAAAAATACATACATGATCAGAATACATTAATTGGTACCATTAGAATTCAAGATCCACGATGAGCCAACAATGATAAATGTAATAAATTACAGAATAAATAATATCCATTATTAGGAACAATATATTTAAACATTCATAATTTTAGTATCATTTATATGTTTGTAGTAAAAAATCAAATAAAATTGCCAATGTTGAAAATAAAGTAATTTAAGTAATAAAATGATTGAAAAATGTTGACAGAAAGTAACTTTATTAAATAATAATAATATTTCAATTTGTGTATGTTTCAGATAATGAGAGGTTACTACATGTATACATCTATGAAATTGAAAAATATATGTAATCAAATGTCATGAACATTAAAATACGTTTTAATGAATTCATATTTATTATCTCATGTATTTATCAGCAAGTGATTTTATTAAACACTAAATAAACTCAACATATAATTTTAGCATTTAAAGCTCACCATGGAAATTGTATTATTTGATCACTAAATACTTTTACTTAAAATTATTATTTACAATATATTTCCAAAACCTTATTCTAGCTTAAATATTGTATTTTTTTTAAAAATTATTTTTGTAAATAAAATAACTCATAAAGTTTCCTGTATCTACAACTTAATTTTTTTCTAGAGTGGGGCTATGTGTCAGCATTGCATGGGAACCAAAATTGTCTGTCTTCCATGGCAGTATCTTTCCGTTCCGGTAGCGATATTATTGATGATTGATGTGTTCCTATTGATACATTAAAAAATATTAACATTTTGAGTAATGAATGTAGGTCCTATACAAATCTGGTTTAGTTAACTTCTGTCAGCAGATGGAACGAACTTGATTCAAGGGCAATGTTCCCTTTTTCCGTACTCTGCATTAAGATACCTAACACGAAATATCTTTGTTTATTATCACAGAAGGTTGCTTAATCTTAGGCCAACTTAGCTATTATTTTATGCTTACGCTTAGGCCTACTTAGTTATTATTTTATGAACACATACGCAAACATTAAGATTTAAATTGATATTTTAAACTTGCGTTTATTGTCATTCCGAGTAATATTCTATTTCTATTGGTAAAAGGGAAACAATAAAGAATTTGGTAACGTGACAATCGAAACAAGAAATGCACGAAGAATTGTTTTGTCAATATGCACTGTTTATTTGGAATGTAATATCGCATTGATATTGACTTACTTGCGAGTTGGTTAAGTGAGGAATTCGAGATTTCGAATATGTTTCCATAGCCACCATTTTCTCCCGTTCATTGCTATCATTGTTTACCCTTCATCGCCATTGAATATTCTGCTGTTCTTCACGTTTCAGCAGCCTCCACCCTTCACTTTCACATGCTTTCCTTCTCACCCCAAGTGAACCTTATTCAGTTCCTGCGTACTGTAACGTAATAGCGAGCTAACCTAGTGGCAGCTATTTGGGGACGAGCAGTAACGATTAGCAACAGGAAAACGCCTTGCCACAGGAGGGAGAGAAAGGCTTTTTCCTAAAAGCAAGCACGCGGCAAAGGAAGACACCAGGCTCTGGGGTTCACCGATCTTAGGGAACGGAGACCCGAACCTCAAGGCAAGCAGAAGCGCACTGCGGAGGTCCCTGCCCGAGCCTATATATGGGAGTACACAGAGTCAGTGGGTGGGTTCTGGAGACTGAGAGAATTTCGAGCGAATGCACCAAACTTGCGCCACGGCGGTGCAGCGGCGAGCAGGGCTCGCGAGGCAAGTCACGTATTGATGCACCTATGGGGACTTTGTGTCCTTGTGTAACTACGGTCACGTGGGAGCGATACTGTGTGCCTTCAAGGTGAGGAGTGGTTAAGAGCCATAACATATAACATATTACATATCATATAACATATTAAATTACCCAGTATAAGTTTCCCCAAAACCATCTTAAAGCAATATGGCGGTCTCCTATAGTTGGGCAGGGCCGCCCAGAGAAATCAAGAGGTCTAGGACAGTCGATCCGTGGGGACCCCTTATTTGAATCAAAAGTTTCGCAGTTCCGGCCCCACTCACAATATATCAACAGAATTCACTTCTCCGTGCAACAGAAATAACTTGTAGGGGTTAAGAGTAGAAACATATACACATGTTTTGAACGGGGAAAAATCAGAGACCTCAGTTACCCCTGGGGTAAGTTGCTCCAACAACCCCTCACCCTTCTGTGTACCCCTGCAGTCGGGAACTTTCGAGCTGCATTCTCGAGTAGTGCTGTAATATACTGTCCACAGACTCGAGCACGAAATCATCATAGTTATTCATGCCCCTATGCGTTTGCTTATCTAGTAAAACCATAGAAGACTCTTATTCCACGGTTCATGGCAGAGGCGAGAGCTGCCCCGTCGGCTGATGTCAGCTGGGGGGTGGCACGCCTATCTCCAGCCGCCAGGTGTGGCCGTCAGCGGCGCGAGCCGGGAGCGGCCTCGCAGGGAGGTAGAAGCCATCGGCGTCCGGGCGCGGCGGCGGCGGCTGGACGTCGATCACCTCGTAGGTGTGCTCAGCGAACTCCTCCGCCGCCTCCTCCACCTTGAGGTCGTCATGCGCGAGAGCGGGCGGCGGGGCGCGCAAGAGCTGCTTGTAGCCCGCGGGAGCGCTCTGGGGGAGCGGCCGCTGCGGAGCGTTGGCCTGCAAGTAGCCGTCCTCGTCCAAGGGCAGCGACCCGCTCCCACCCCCATCCCGCGCCCCGCCCCGCCTCTACCGCCGGGCTCGCCGCCGCTGCACCGGCTGCACCCGCAACCGCCTGCGAAAAGGGATGATCGTCATGACGGCTCCTACATTCTGGAATCGGGAGAGAGGGGTAAATGTAAAAGGAGAGGTGGCAACTCGACTTCTGCACAGAAATCGCACCTGCAATGGAAAAGTGTCGTAACTAAAAAAAAATGAACTTCGGTTTATTTTATACATTATTTAAAGTTGTTGAAGATCATACTTCATAAACTGTTTTAAACCTTTAAAGTACTCTCTTGAAAATCAGCTTTCTTGAGTTGCAACACTCGGTTTGCACAGCTTCACTGTGCGCACGATTTGTTGAGCTCTCCTTTCGCTAGTTGTTGTAGGAGTAGAGCAGGGAGTTTATCTGTCGCCGAAGATGACGCGCCGCTTGCCTCGGCGATCGAGCCTTCGCTTCCCCGTGGACTTGTCAACACAGCCCCGTTCCTCCGGCGCGACTTGCGATACACCAGTGTCCCCAGAGCGATCAACTGTGCATCATGACATTTTCTTTGAAGCAGAGAATATTTCTTTACGGCCCCTTTGCTCGATTTACGTCTGCCCGTTAGTGCTGCAAGAGGTGTATTAACAAATTTCTGGGCGCGAATATTCCACATTGGTCAACAATTTTGAAGCTTGTAAAGTAACTTCGCATCCATAGAATTTTTAAGGGCAAACAAAAGTGTCAAAAGTTCAATGTCCTGACAGAAGAGAAGATGAACTCTGCCTGATTGCAACAATTTTCAAGAAAATCTTGCAGGCATCTGTGGTTACTTTCAACATAATTTGGCAAATGGGCGTCGGTGACCTGTTTGGCACTACTGCCCCAACGTTTCAAATAAAGTTTACAGTGACTATCGAATAATTAATCGTGAATTATGGCCTCCTAGTTCGCCTGATGTGACTCCTTGTGACTTTTTCCTTTGAGGGTACTTGAAAGATCCGCTGTATAGAGAAAATCCGCATTCGGAGGAAGAGTTCTGGCGCTCTATTGAAGAGAAAATTACAGCAAATTCCTCGAGATTTACTTCAAAGTTCGGAGGTGCCAAGAATTCATTCGAGCTGAAGAACACCGCATTCGGCATCTTCTTTAAGGTAAGATAAGCGCAGCAACAGTGCCCGTGTGTCAGCAACGGAGTTGAGTCAGCGTTTCGCCCGGCAACCGAGCTCTCGCCTCCCCGGGCGACGCGGCCCGAATCTCCAGCGAACGATAAAATGAACACTATTTTTTATAAATTCTATCATCTCAATTCTATAGTTTGTTTACTGATGCATGTAAGTTTTCTATAACTCGGGAGCGAAAATGTCTACTTTTAAAATGTTGCTAACCTCCCTTTGTTGGTACTTTTATTCACCATTCCACTGTTTATGGTTAAGGACGAGGCTAAAGAAAACTTCCGCAGATTCAGGTCATACGCGGGTTTTTACTGTTCTTCAAATTAATGAAATGCTGATTAAATTAATCAAATTTAATCAAAACAACCAGCGCACACCTTCATGAATAACATACCAATTAGAGTGAAATGATGTTCCTTTTTTAGTTCAGATGTTCGCATTATACAATTTTCAACTATATTATGAGCTCGTCATTGACATTTCTCATCTTTTAACCCAACTTCAGAATAGTAGCAGTACCTCTTGGTAACCTCTTATCAGCTTTTTGCTGAAAAATGACGATTTCACACTTGTGTCACTTTTCTATTGGAGGTGCTATACGCCTTGGAGACGTGATAACATTCTGCACTTTATCTATTACTATTGTTTTAAAAGTGAAATTAGTTTCATACTGGAAGCCAACCTCGAACGGCAAGCTCCTGACTTCTGCGTTGCAGCATTTTATGCGCAATGCTGTGCGTGGTTAATCATAATTTTGCTAAGCCTTGTTAACAAGCAGACCACTTATATCTGTGAGATAAAATTGCACATAAAAAATATTTTAATTTTCCATTTATTTCGAGAGTCTGTTTCTGACCACTCCACTGCAAAGAACGAAAGAAGGGCAAGCAGAAGAGCAAACCTACAAGAATTCATTATTGAACAAAAAGGTATCATTTTGTAGAATACACCTTAAATGTAACTGTTACCACACGTGTCTCCTACATATGTTCCCCATACGATCTCTCCGCATGAACCCCCTACATGTTCTTTGCTTCTCATGTTCCCTCACATGTTATCCGCGTATTTACCGCGTGTTGCCCCGTACGATTAACTGGAAATTAAACTTCCGTTCCAGAAATCATCGCAGTGGTGTCCCTGATGGCTAAAACTGCAGCGTGGTTTTAAGTGCTTAAGACGCATCGTTTCCGAGTTATGACCAAAGATAAAGTACATTGCAACGTAACGTACGGTATGTTGCGGGTAGAAAGTGCACCCGCTGTTTCCCTTATTATTTTTTTTTTCAAAATGTAAACTTCTAAATGTTTTTCTCATGTCCGATGGAGACATCTAGCAGAAGTACACTTACAGATTTTGTATCAGTGGTGTTTGGTATGTGTACAAAACAGTCATCTTTTCTTAGCGTATAAACACAGATGGGATTTAAGGCCTTTTGTTAAGGAAAGATTGAGAAACCCAGAGCAGCAGTGCCCCGAAGCATACGCTTTGTCAGTTGATGCAGTAATCTCACCCCGTCCTGTTCCCACAGCACACTCCTATAAACAGGGACTGGAGGTGAGCAGAAAATTTAGGTGTAGGGTAACATTTTTAATGTGTTTCAACAAGAACTCATGAAGTAGCATGTTAAATCTTTCCAAGTTACTTCAGTTAAACACAGTATACTTCACTACAGTATACTTCAGTTTAAGTCATTTTATGTACTTTAACTCACAAATACAATGGTGTTTACAAATTGCTGGAAATGTGCATATCAACGACGTGAGAGATCCTTCAAAAAATTTATATTTGTGTAATTTTTTAAATATAAATATACTGAAATGAATTTTACGTCATATTAAAGATTGTAATTAGCACTATCCGTTCGAAATGTTTGAAGGCAAAATTTGAAGCCATTTTTGGGTAAAAAAGAGTTTAAGGGTTCTCTGAAACTGCGAAATTTTGAGCTTGTATCTACAGAAAACGGTTGAGTTATCAAGAAATTTTATATGACATTATTTAAAGCACATGTTCCTATAAAAACAATAATGTGAACAAATTGCCGGTAATATAAATATTCAGAACATGAGAGAAAAGTCCAAAAAAGTACACTTTTATAATTTTTGAAAAAACAAGAGAATAGAGTAATATGGCGTTTATGTCGTCTTTCGTCTTATATCTTAAATTTAGCACTATCCCTGTCAAAAATTTAAGAATAAAATTTGGAGCCGTTTCTGATGAAATCTTCTTTTTGTATTTTTTAAAAAAATGCACATATTGCATGCAACATTTTCCATTCTACTATTAAGAAACCGAAAAATTAAGAACATTTTTAAAAAAAGGTACTTTGTGAGGCGATAGGTGGTAGCTGGCAAGAGTATAGGGCTAGATAGCCGAGACTAAAGGAAATAGAAAACTAATACGTGAAGTCTGTGCCATTCTGTAGCACCACTCATTCTTATTTTGTTTAGCACAAACTTGAATTTGCTTTTGGTCTGCAGGATATCGACATCACTTTCAAATTATATTACTTTGCCCCCCTTCCTCGGAAGATTTGAAATATGTCTATGCAAGGGTGGCAAAACAAATTATTTTGAATCTTTGTTCCCGTAATTTATAGAAGACACACTCAATTTTTGTCAGAAACGTTTTTTGTTTTATACTATGGATTCCGTGTACGAATTATAAAAGGTGGCGCCAAGATATGATTTTGAGACAGTATGCCAGAAACTACGAGATTCTGCTTGACAATACCCC